CATTCTTTTCTACCTACCTTCTATGACTGGATTCTAGTAGCTGTTTTCTTATCAATTACTTCATGTCATTCTAGGAAGAATATAGAGCTATAGATGCCGCTTCACTGTTATGTAACCATCACGGGATCATCTTTTCACCATGATTCCTATGTTATAGGTTAGAGCTATTCAACGTACTGATCTATCTGTCGTTTCATAACACCACCCGTTTAGCTTCTTTTCATCGGTTCCCGGAAAAGGAATGCATGGTGATGCTTATTTCCTGGAATGTCACGCCCTCCTGACCCGACTGTCTGTGCCTGAGACGATGTAATTCTTTTACAGCGGCTAAACACGTTGTTGACCCCTATCCGTCAGTGGATGGCGCCAGGGAGGCGCCAGGGACCAGATGGACTAATGCACGCTTGGGAATCACTTTAATGCTAAAAGGAAACTACATCATTCTGTCTAGGCACATGCGATTCGTTTACCTTCACAAGGATAATAGGGGTTGCAGTCTTTGATTTTAAAGACACAAACTAGCTAGGGAATGGGGAGTAATTGTTAACATTCTGGGTGGGCAATGCATCCTTGTGGAATGGTTTATGTATATGTACGTCTTGCTACCACAGGGACATTCGCTTGTTATATATTCTACTTTGGCTTGACGTTTAATAACTGGTAGACGAAGTTGCTCTCAAATCATCGCTAGTAAGGCACAAAGCAGGCAAAAGTTTTCCACCAAGGCAATGGCGAGATGCCCTTCAAAAGTGTTCTTTTGACATACAGTATTTAATCTGTCTGGCACAGACCCTTAAGAACGCCGAGAGAGGCCACCCTTAAGACCCAGACGAATGAAAAATAGCACAAGACTCTGACTATCGCGTGTTCATAAAAAAGAATATATGAATGTACATTGACAATTTGCCAAGCATTTCACCTTCAGCGTCTTATATATCCTTTCGGAATTTGGGTTCAGGGCGTCTGGCATAGTCGATTTCTTAAGTTGAAAGACGCTTAGAGAGACCATCTCGTAACCCACTCAAATGAAAAGCAACATGCGCCTGCAGTTACCACTTTTCCACCAAACAGAATAAATGGATCTACTGATGAAAATTGACTGTAGAGGCTTATTATGGCTTAGCTTCTTGGAACATTACGTGTGTAGTAAATCCATGCTTAAGACTTGGAGCAGACGGAAAGAGGCTAGGCGACGCCAACCCCAATAGCCCATGCCTTTCAAGAGAGATTCTACAACTCTATTCATTATCGGTATTAGTCATTGGTATTAGTTTCATGCTCAGTGGCTGCTTCCCCATTAAAGTTTGCTGTCTTGCCTTTTAAAAGTATTATGTGTGTGTGTGTGTGTGTGTGTGTGTGTGTGTGTGTGTGTGTAGTAGTATATATATATATATATATATATATATATAT